TTTTGCTTTTGTCATCTCCTCTACACACTGGGTCTGCCTCCCGTCTCTGTTACCACCTGAAACCCAGGGTTTGCATGTTCTGATGGGGTCTCCAAGCCCCCCCCCCTTAGGGGGGAGCTGCTCATGAGTTCCAAATGGCAGAGCTGCAGAACACAAGAGATGGATGGCCAAAAAAATGGGCAAAAACCAGTATCCAGAAGCCATTATAAATTAACTGAAAAATCGTATGAAGCAGGCTGACACCTCTCTTCACTCCCTCATGCTGGGCAGAGAAAAGGCAGTCAACAAGCAACATCCAAAAGGCCAAAGGAAAGCAATATAGACTTGAAACCACAGCAGAAATATCTGGAAGTTGAGTCATGGCAACTAGACTTTTTATTATTTTGAAACGTTTCACTACTCATCCAAGTAGCTTCTTTAGTAGCTATTTCTTCTTGGATGAGTAGTGAAACATTTCAAACTAATAAGAAGTCCAGTTGCCATGACTCAACTTCCAGATAACCTCACCTGGATGACTGAGAATCTTCAGACACACAGCAGAAATAGTGGTGGTGATCCATGATGCCCACACTTTATGAAATCACCAGAGACTACAAGGTAGGGACACGATGCCTCTCCTGCCCAGCTCCCAGCAGAGGATTAACCCAAAGTTCTCCAACCGTGATGCAGCCAAGGACTAATATTGCACATGGAGTGTGCGCACCCAGTAGCACTCACAACTGACATCTTAGGCATTGATGGAGATAGTATCACAGGTATAGGTCTCCTGTCCCTCCAGATGAGCAGAAGCCAGTTAGTGGTAGAAGATGCCACCTTGTCATCTGACAATGTATTGCTGTGCAGCAGTTAACTCATAAAGAGGATACAGCCACGTATACTGGGAAAGAGACATAGGCATTACTTTCTAATAAGAGGCCAATGTGGATGAGAATGCAGTTTCAGAAATGAAGCAGAAGGCACAAGATCACACCACACAGCTAAGGAAATATAGTGGTGCCCCACATAGCGACAATAATCCATGCAGCAAAAACCGCTGCAAAGCGATTTCGTCGCTATGCGAAAATAAAAAGCCCATAGGAATGCACTGAAACCCCTTCAATGCGTTCCTATGGGCTTAAAACTCACCTTTAAGCGAAAATCCTCCATACGGCCACCATTTTCACTGCCCGGTAAGTGGGGAATCCGGGCGAAAACACAGCGGGTGGCCATTTTTTCCCCAGCGGCCATTTTGGAACTGCCGATCAGCTGGAAAATCATCGCTATGCGATGATCGGTATGCGAAACAGGGTAACGATCATTGCAAAGCGATTTTTTTCCATTGAAAACATTGCAATGCAATTGCAAAAACGATCGCAAAAAGTTTGCTATGCGGATTTGTTGTTAAACCGGGCGCCCATTAAGTGAGGCATCACTGTATAATGATGCAGTGCTATGTCACTTAGACAAAAAATTTTTAAGGGAGAAACATTGCAGACACAAGGCTTTGGTTCTCCTACTGTACGTGTGCTTTGGGTGTATGTGCACATATGCAACCACCAAAAACACCCCTCCATTAATTTAGAGCAATTTATGCTGACAAATTGTGGCTTCCAGTTTGATGTTGAACATACTGACAGCTGGAAGTAAATGATAAACTGAAGTGGTGAGGAAGTGGGGATAAGAGCAGTGGTAATGGCAGAGGATGGTGAGCTTTTGCTGAGAATGTGATCTCAAATTGCCATGTGACTTCCTGTCCCACAACTGTCTGGGCAACAGTACTCATTTGTGTGTGAATCGAAAGATCAATCTAGAGGATCTAAATAGCGTACTACACTCAGAAGCAACTCTTCTTAGCCCAAACCAGACCAGTCCAGATTCCCTTCCAGATTTTCAGAAATCTCCAGGATGTTCTTTCACAGTGCAAATGAATTCCTGGGCACCACCAAAAGCTGAGCATTCCAGCTAAGGGAGGAGTCCAGGAGTACAACCAATCTGTGGACCTGAGCTTTCAAGGCAATGTGACCTCATCCAGCGTAGGTTGAATTCATGTTCCCTTGTGTGCCATTTGACCAGAATCATTTAAACTAAGTTTAAATTAGTTTCCCACATCCAGTCCATAACTAACACCAGGAACTGGTTAAGAACTGAGACTGCTTCCTTGGAATTGGATGAAAAGGAGAAAGGGGAGAGAGAGTTGGACGTCATTAGCATGCTATGCTTTACGGGATACGGGAAAGCCTCAACTGCGGGGATCATTAAAAGCTATGGGTTGTTCTTTAAAAAGTGGATGTGCCGCATTTGGTTGTTGTGACGTGCAACCTATAATCTGGATAACAGACTACAGGAGAATGGTAAAAGGATCAGATTGGGATGCATTTTATCTCCCTTGTTCAAATTATCTGTGAACATATTTGGCTGCAATCCTGTAGTGGCTTAATGGCAGCATCAGTTTAATTGTGGTCAGAAATGGAGTCTCATGTTGCATCAATGTAACTGCATTAGTCACAGTGGCAAGTCGCTTTTAAATAAGGAATTGCCCCTCCCATTACTGTACTAGGTTTCTCCCAGGTGTTGGACTTAGGATGCAAGTAATGAATAAACACAAAGAAGACAAAAATGAAGACCACAGAAGAATTACATAACTTTAATGCTAACAATGAAGATATCAAAATTAGGAGACTTCCTATATTTCAGTTTAATTAATCATCAATCCAAATGAAGTCTGCAGCTTAGAAACTGGAAGAAGACGGAATCTCTTTCCACACTCCATACATATGTATGCTTCATCCCTGTGTGAGCCTCCTGATGTTGGGTAAGTCTTGAGCTCAGGTGGAAACTCTTACCACACTCCATGCAATTATATGGTTTCTCCTCTGTCCTTCGCTGCTGATCAAGGTGCCCTTCCAGATTGAAGCTCCTTCTACACTCCATATCTTTACACGGTTTCCCTCCTGTGTGAGTTCTTTGATGCACTGCAAGATTTCCTTTCTGATTGAAACTTTTTCCACACTCCATGCATTTATATGGTTTCTCCCCTGTGTGAGTTCTTTGATGCAGCCTCAGATTCCCTTTCTGACAGAAGCTTTTTCCACATTCCATGCATTTATGTGGTTTCTCCCCTGTGTGGATTCTTTCATGCAGCCTAAGGGCGTCTTTCAGACTAAAACTTTTTCCACACGATGTGCATTTATATGGTTTCTCCCCTGTGTGAATACTTTGATGCCTCTTGAGGGCACCTTTTTGAGTGAAGTTCTTTCCACACTCCATGCATGGAAATGGCTTATTCCCAGTGTGAAAAATTTGATGCTGTCTAAGGTTCCCTTTCAGACTGAAGTTCTTTCCACAGTCCAGGCATTTGTAAGGTTTTTCCCCTGTATGAGTTCTTTCGTGCACCCTAAGGGCATCTTTCTTACTGAAACTCTTTCCGCACTTCATGCATTTATATGGCTTCTCCCCTGTGTGAATATTCTGATGCCGCCTAAGGTCGCCTTTCTGAGTGAAATTCTTGCCACACTCTATACATTCATATGGTCTCTCGCCTGTGTGAAAACTTTGATGCTTTCTAAGGCTCCCTTTCAGAGTAAAACTCTTTCCACACTCCATGCATTTATGTAGTTTCTCCCCTAGGTGAAGACGTTGATGCTTTCTAAGGCTCCCTTTCAGACTGAAGCTTTTTCCACACTCCACGCATTTGTATGGTTTCTCTGAGTGAAAACCGCGATGCTTTCTAAGACTTCCTTTCAGACTGAAGCTCTTTCCGCACTCCATGCATTTGTATGGTTTCTCCCCTGTGTGAGTTTTTTCATGCACCCTAAGGTACCCCTTGGAAGTAAAGCTTTTTCCACACTCCATGCATTTATATGGTTTCTCTCCTGTGTGAGTTCTTTGATGTAAAGCAAGGCTAGAAAATATAGTGAAGCTCTTGCCACAAACCAAACATTCCCATGGTTTTGTCCCTTTGCTTCTTCTTTGGTCAGACAACCTTCTACTGTCACTGAAATGTTTTGCAGTGTCCATGCCTTGATACCATTTTGATCCTGACTGGGTTCTGCCACATCTCTTTAATTTGCTATCTGCCTCTTGAGAACTGGAGGGCTTTTTCTTTCCTTTCTTGGACGGGTTTTCCATGCGAGTCTTTATTCCTCTTGCAGTCCCATACAGTTTTCTTCCCCCTTCAGGCTCCTTTACTTCCAATGACACTGGAGATGATAGATTCTGGCAGTTCTCAAAATCTTGACCATTACCTAAATCAGAGAGATAAAGAGAGAAATACAGTATTATCATGTCAGTGAGATTCAGAAGTACTTGGGAGCTTCAAAAATGCACCAGAAACCAAATTATCTCTTTGTGTTGGTCATTTTTTTCTCTGTGTGTCCTCTGCTGGAACAAAGCCATCTTTTCAATAATCTGGGATTGGGGAAGGAAAGAGAAACTAAACCAGATAAAGCTCACAGATTTTCTTCCTCTTAATCTATCTGTATTTAGAAGCCAAGATGAATAAACATGGAAGAGCAGCATGCTATTGCTCTGTGTTGTATTCAGAATTCCTCATTAGTCCAGACTTGTTCCGATTCAACTGCAGCTTCCAAATCTATTCTAAACAAGGTCACATGTTGCACTTTTAATTACCTGACTGTTTTTATCTGTTCCACCCAAGAGACAGGAAAGGGGAAGATAAGGGTGTGTAACTGAAAAATAAGAATTATGAATACTATGGGATTTCATGAAGACAATATGCTTGGCAAAGTTGAAGGCATTAGGAAAATAGGAAGACCTAACATGAAATGGATTGATTCCCATTAACGAAGCAAAAAACCTTGCATTTCCAGGATCTGGGGAGGTTGCTAATGACGGACGTTTTGGAGGTCATTTTCGAGTACATTCAAGAGCAGCAGACAGGAAATAGGGTGGCCTATTAAGTTGGGAATCCTGCCAGTGGATTCAACACACCTTGTGCCTGATGGCTGCTGATGGCTGTAAAAATAGAGGCTGAAATGTCAATTTAATCTCCTCTATTGTCACCAGACACATACCTAAGGAAGTACCTTCCGTTGTCTTCTGTGTGTAAGACTCCTGGGCACGTGGATCTTCTTCTTCCAGCCGAGAGATCAGGTCTGCTTTGGGAATTTCTTTCAAAGAAAGAGACAGCCTGGTGACTACAGAATTTCCAAGCATTCTAACTTGTTGCTATTAACCCTTCAGCTTATTTCTTATTTCCCCTTATTGCTCAGAAATTCCACTAACCCTTTTGGAAAGATACACTAGAACTAACAGTACTGATATAGTTCAAATCCTGAAGGTGTGTGCAACTTTCCAGGCAGGCTACTCTTTATCATGATGAAGGAGCCATTCTGGGAGCCGTGCCAGCCAGGGACTAAGATACCTACTTCACCCAAACGCTCTTCCTTATGTCAGAAAAAAATTAAACCCAACCAAGACAAAAAGATTTTAAAAAGCAGAAAGTATAGAAGTGTAGGGAAGAAAGAATACTCCAGGCCACTGCAGCACCAAAAGAAAAGCATCTGGATGCTTATTTTAACTTAAAATCTTCGTCATGATAATGAGGCCTAGCAGATTCAAATAGCAGTGTAGAGCAGTGGTTCCTAACCTTGGGTAACCCAGGTGCTCTTGGACTGCAACTCCCAGAAAACCTGGCCAGTGGAACTGGTGGTGAAGGCTTCTGGGAATTACAGTCCAAGAACACCTAGGTTACCCAAGTTTTTGAACCACTGGTGTAGAGCATTGGTTCTTAACCTTTGTTACTCAGATGTTTTTGGCCTGCAACTCCCAGAAGCCTTCACCATCAGCTCTGCTGGCTGGGGTTTCTGGGAGTTGCAGTTGAAAAACACCTGAGTAACAAAGGTTAAGAACCACTGGTGTAGCGCAGTGGTCCCTAACCTTGGGCCACCAGATGTTCTTGGACTTCAACTCCCAGAAATCCTGGCCAGCGGAAGTGGTGGTGAAGGCTTCTGGGAGTGGTAGTCCAAGAACATCTGGAGGCCGAAGGTTGGGGACCACTGGTGTAGAGGATTCAGAAAACAGACCAGGAATGAACAGAAAGACAGGGAAGCTGCCAAAAAATGAAGCAGGTCCACTGCTGGATATATTATAGCAGAGCCATTACAACTCCTGTGGTAATTAATCTAATACCAGCAAAAGGCAAAGACTTAACAGCACCAGTGATATCTATTGCTCAAACAGCCAGCTTAGGCCTGTATAGACAGCAATGGTTTGTTTTAAAATCTCTTTCTTTGCCTGTTTCATCATTCTCGTTTTTCATTTTTATTCTTATTTTTCATCTCAATGGTTCTACATGTCACCTGAGGAACTGGCAACAGAGGTGGGGTTGATGGGCAGGCAGGTTGTTTTTTTTTGCCAGCATACTGTGGGATGGTATAAAAACAGTAGCAAGAAGCTGCGCTATTCAATAAATACATTTTTTAACAAAAGTACTAGAGATCGAACTTATTCCAAAATATTTAAAAGCACACACAAACAAAATCCAAACTGTCATAAAAAAATATTAAAAAGCCTCAGGGAAAGATGGCTTTGGAAGTGACTTTTACAAAGTGTATGCAGAACAGTTAGAACCACATTTGCTTTCCTTATTTCACAGTATTATAGATGGGTGTGTCGTTACTTTTTTATTAATATATATATTTATTTTCAAAACTATTAAGGGTAGGGTAAGGAATATAGAAGGTAATGGGGGTGGGAGGGGTGGAAAAAGGGTTTTGAGCATAAGAGAACATCAACTATATAATCATTCAATCTTTTCATATTAAGTATATAAGCATATAATCTGTTCATATTCCAATAAGGGCTCATCTTTCTACTTCTTTTTTTAACTATTTGATTACCCCCCTAGCTTTCAACTTGTAATTATATTATAGCTTAAATCTAAGTTATTCCAACACCATCAGAACACCAAGACCAGTTGTAAGATACATCCCCTCTTTCACCCTCCTTTTGTCTTAGAAATACATTCGACAGGCCTAACATAGATGGGTGTGCCATTACTAAGGCTATTCCACAGTCTTACTTAGCATTCAAGGTCGTAATTATTTCCAAGCTCAGAAAAGTTCAAGAAAAGTTTGGATTCCTATCAGTCAACTGCTTTACAGAACCAGGACTCCAGGATATGTGGACCACCCCTTCATCCTTGAGCCTCACAGAATGAAACATTTCGGCAGACCAGGAAACAACACTAATCCCAAAATGGCCACAGATTAACCTGTTAAATATATGGGGGATTGGAGTAAGAGACCCATAATGCCTTGCAGCTCCCACAGAGTTTTGACCCGTCCACCAACCCCCCACCTACATCTCCATGATATCTGAGAGAAGCCATTCCTCAGCCATAAGAAATATCTGAAAGGAGTTTGTTTGTTATTAGTAAGACCTCCAGAATTCTGTCTAGGATCTCCTGTAGACTGCTGGGAGCTGTAGTAAAAAGAAAAGAGAATCCTGTGCCTAATTACATAACTTAATGGGTGAGATTTTGAAAGCCTTTGTATCATCTGGGAATTCTTTGATAAAAATTGTTGAGTGACAACAATGATGGACCAGAAAATATGCTTAATTGTTACCATTGTCACAACTGCCACCGTTGCTGCCACCACCAAACCGGTTTAACAATAAAACCATACTGGTGTTCATCCACATTCATTATTATGCTTCTGACTTTTGTGCTGAAAACACCTGACCATTCCCTTTATAGCCTCTGCTCAAGGTTTTAGGTTTTGGGGAGAACGGATTGAATTTGAATTTTATAAAGGGGAAGGGATGTGCGCCTTTGCGAGAGTCAATGCAATTTAGGAAGGGGAATGGGGATTCATAGAGAGGGTGGAAATTAATTAATTTCCAAATGATCCGGGTGGTTGGGTGGAATTTTTGTCTTGTTGTTTTGTTGCTATGTGTTATTAGATGGTTTAGGCTTGTATGATTTTGTTTCATGCTTTTAAAAGCTAAATGAAGAAAGAGCGGTCACTGGAAAGGACTGTGTCAATCACATAAGGCACCTATACATTCCACCCACCATGAAAGGCGTCAACAAGACTTTCAGCCATGCTGGTCAGTGGCACAGATTCTATCCTTACCCAGAGAAGTTACCATCCTGTAGTTCTCCAGCATGACTTCCTTATACAGAGCTTTTTGGCCTGGATCTAGTAGATCCCACTCCTGCTTGGTGAAAGACACAGCCACCTCCTCAAAGGACACCAGCTGCTAGAAGAAGAAGGAAAAACAGTTACCTGCTACAATCCTTGCAATATACTGCTACACTCTTAATATCCACTAACAAGTGGATATTTTAAAATATTTTTTCTTCTTTTGCTTCATCCTGGCAGGAGTCACAATATCATGAGATTAACATTAACGTTCTTATACACCGTAGCAGCAGAAGTAATGAAAAGGGTCTTCCTTCAAACTCCCCTTCCACCGCCCAATGCAGAGAGAGAAGCTTGCATTTCTCCTTACCTGAGACAGGTATATGGCCATCCTTTCCTCTCCACCACCAGGAGGAGATGATCTAGAGCCTGCCTCTGTTGCCACTGTACTCCCTATGATGGAGACAAAAGAAGCATAAGCCAGGCATCTCAGAGATTCCGGACGGGGCGCTCCGAGCTAATCTGCGTTTCTCATTGCATCATTTGATCAACGAAAAAATAATTGTGAATTAGCCTGCCCCAAATCTGCATTTTCCGCAGGTTTTCATAACATGGTTGCCCTTCCCCGAGGCTTATATTGTGGCTTATATTCCAGTTTGGCACTGACCTGCACTTCCTTGTGCTCAAGTCCATTTGCCCACCTAGAAAATACATGCATGTATAGCAGAGGCTAAATATTCTTTTGGTCTGACCAATTCAAAATCCTTTTGGTCCACAAAGTC